GCAGGTGCTGCGGCTCATTGAGGCCCAGCCTGCTTGCCCTCTGCGGGGGTTGCGCGGCTTGTACAACCAAAAGCGGGTTCAGGGGAAGTTGAGTTTCCCTGCTAGTTGGTCGGCGGTGCCGGCTGATTGCCCGAATATTTGATGGGGGGATGGTTTTACTCCGTTGTTGTTTTAGACTTGATCCCGGGGAGTTGGGTAATTCTGAAGTAGTTGGATAGGTAAAGAGTTGGAAGCCGACGTAGTGTAAATCTGCACGTATCCCGTCATGCAACGAAGGGGGCTACGAAGGCTCCGGTTAGAAAGGGGGGGGGGGTGCATCTGCTCCGTGCGAGAAGACGTTAAGCAGAAGAGTAAATACCTTCAGCCTACAAGAGCCGGCATAAGTTATGTTGTTGGCAGCCATATTTTGCATCTCAAAACATCTCAAAACACTAAGAATCTGTGTTGAAAGGCGTTACTTGTATTTAAAAAGGTCTTACCAATATTGAAGGAGGCCTGAATAGTATTGGACAATACCTCCTCCCAGTGTCAATAACCCTCGGCGCACGACAAAACGGGCCGTCCTTCTAGCCGGGGCCCCCGTACAGGTGAGCGAGTTCAGCCATCGTTGGGGTTGGCACTTAAGACTCGCCCGTCAGGTTCAAGCTCACTCTAGACGAGAACACCTCGGAGCCGCGCACCAACATGGAAATGTCCGAGGGTAGGACAACTGAAACGTCGTCCTTGCGCTCGAGGGATAGGGTTACCGAAATGGGGTTGCGCAACTGTCGCATCGTTGGACCAATCAGAGGACGCGCGCCTGTTTTGGACAGTCGCTCCGCAGCCCTACAAAGGGCTGTTGGTTTCAGCGCACCGTTTCCTCTGATCTCTCGGGGAATTTGTGCGCTGTGGACCTGGATTGTCGCACAAACAAAAGTCCGGGAAATACCACGGGGCTGCTGCGGCGCTCGTCGCAAAGCCAATTATCCGGACGCTGGGCAGGGCTGGTAGAATCCTTCGTGATGCTCGTGCTCACTGGCAGGTCTTGGTCGCGTCGCAAATTGGGAGGACAGAAAGCGTTATGTAAGCCAACCTCGTGAGGGAATTGCTTGCGCAGAAAAGGCATCGAACCTCGGATTCGACGAGCAAGACGCCATGAAATGATCTGCTCGCAGAGCGTCGGGCTCGGCATCTCTTTTGCATCCGGAATTGTCGAGGCAAGCGCGCTACCACTTGACTGTGATCGTTGGGAATGTCAGGGACTTGGCAGGGGCACAGTGCATCTTGGCGATCGATTGGCGCTTGATTGGCTCTCATTGGCGGCGCTGTCCCACCATCTGAAACGCTCCGCCCTACGCGGGGAACGTCAGGGGTGTTTGAGATTCCGCGTCAGGCAATGGGCACGCAAAAGTACGGAGAGAACCTTGCAGGAGGGCAGCAAAGCAAAGCAGCGCCAGTGACGTTCGGCCCTTTTGTATCGTTGGCGGCGTCAATGCGGACGGCAGCCCTGTGATGTGATACTCTGCCGCAGCGCTGCGTCGGTCTGTTCGCTGCATCGAAGATTCCTGCCCACAGATCGCCTAGGGCGTCGCGTGGTTGACAGGAGTTCCCCCAGAGGGCAAACACGCCACAGAAGACGGCAAACACCGTGACTTCCCAAACGGGTACAAGTTTTCAGGGCGACGCGGCGGTGCGGGAGTCGCCTCATTAGTCGCCGCATTTTGTGCCCCGCCTTGCATTTTCGACCCCGTGTACTACGAACTCTAAAACACGATGCACGAACCAGCGACTCCCCATCGCTGTGTGGGATGTGGGTGCATTGGGTGCGGGTCATCGCGCGGGCCCAATGTGCGACCCACCTCAGAGGGAGGAGTCGAGGCCGATGAAGCAGCCAGCACAACTTCGTGCTCCACACACACTCCAACAAGCCGACCACTCGCGCACGTCGTCAACAGCGCTATCCCACCTACAGCAAGGGAGGTAGCACCCTGACCGTGCTTGTTTCCATGCAAGACATCGACTGGACTCGCTTGAAGCCGTGGTCGAGGGCCGGGCGATCCGTCAGGCGGCCGATGCCTCCTGTTCCTTGACTCTGCTCCACTCGATATAACCTAGGATCCCTCTCTGTCGGCGATTATCGTCTCATCTTTTCTCCATTACCTGGCCTGGAGCTGCGGTAACAGTGGCTGGCACCAATACCGATCACCAAGTCGACCGAGTCGACCGAGTCGACCGAGTCACCAACCGACCGAACCGAACCGAACTGAGGTGGATTCGAACTTGAACAGGCTTCAACATGGAGGACTTTGAGTCGGCGCTCGGGAGGTCGACCCCGAACCCGAAGTTCATTCCCGGCGGCCTGTCCTTTGACGCCATCATCAAGAACGAGACGCCGGTGGTGAGTTGACTCTAGCAGCATTCCGCTTCAACGCTAACATGCCCAGCCATGCTCCCTCAACGACTTCATGGACTACCTCGTCTACGTCCAGCACCAGGCCGAAGACCTCCAGTTCTACCTCTGGTACATCAACTACATCCCACGATGGAAGGCGCTGTCGGCCCGGCAAAAGGCCCTCTCACCGGCCTGGGAGCCCGGAAAGGCCATCAAGGGGCCCAAGTTCCGCCTTGTCCCGCACCTCAACAACCAAAAGCGCAATGAGAAGTTAGCCAAGGTCCTCTCCATTCTCAAGGAGACCGACGTGGAGGAGAAGCCCGACGAGGCCGAGACCGCCTGGAAGTGCCCTCCGATCAAGACCTCGTTCTCTCCCGACGACGACTTTGCCCGGCCTGGGACACCCCCTCCGCAAAAGACCGTTGAGCCGCCCAAGCCAGACTGGTGTAAGCATCCTTTCCCTGTTTAACCCACCCCAATACTCACGGGTTGCTACCTAGTCACTGTCCAACCCTTTCGCAACGAATACTGCGGCGTCGTCAAACACTACATCGTCGGCACCTCCCCCCGCGCCCTCCGCCTCTCCGACAAAGACCGCGAATGGTGTCTCACCGCCGCCCCGCACACAACCCACCCCTCCGCCCTCCTCCCCGCCTTCCTCGCCGTCGAGGAAAACCTCCGCACCAACCTCCACCCTGCCTTCATCCGCTGGATCCGCTCCAACGCCAACCCCGTCTCCATGTACTTCCTGCGCACCCTCGGCGTCCTCTCAGTACTCATCGGTCTCGGTCTCGACGCCATCCTCATCCTCTCCCGCACGAACCGCTTTATCCGCATCGCGTGCGTCATCTTCTGGTGGCCTGGTCTCGCTGTGTTCATCGCAGCTTGCAAATCCCTCTGTCTCCTCCTACACCTCCGCGACGTGCGCGAGCTCCGACCGTGGGAGATGTTCCCCGCCGATAAGGACGCTGAAGCCGCCGTTAAAGATGTCTACTCCCCCTCTCCACAGGCTCTCAGCGCAAGCGACAAGGAAATGGAAGCCGGCGGGCCGAGTTTCGTCGGTACGCACTCGCGCAAGAACACAGGCGACAGCACTAAATCCGACGCGGGTCCCGACCCGCTGAGGAAGCCAAGCATGAGGACGTTTGGGCCCAAGAACGACTATAGCGATATGCGCTGGTACCATTTGTATAGCAAGCGGAGCGTGTGGAGCAAGATTTTGGATCGAACGACGCCGGTGCAGAATCCGACGTTGAGGAAGATGCAGGATAGGACAATTTTGTTTTCGGTGATGTGGGGAGGCTTGGTGGCGGCGGCGTTGGTGGTTGCCTCGGTGTTGGTGCCGCCTATGGGGATGATTAAGATGTGAGGGTGAGTTGGGGGAAAGGGGGAGGCAGTGTTTGAGTGCGATGGCGCGAAGTTTGTTGCGTTGCGTTGCGCAGACCGCAATTCGAAAATACCCAGATTAGGATGAGGTTAGGACTGGTTTAATATTTGTGTTGGGTGATAGAATCCCAAGAACCGTTTTGTCTTTATTAATACTCTCGGATCTCTGCTGGTGTGACACCTCAGGTGCTATCATTACATTATGAGAACGGGCGTACCAAAGGGCACTTCAGTCGGCACCGGAGCCCAAAGAAACCCCTTCCAGTTCTCCTCCAACTCGGAGATATTGTACTAGGTTGGGCGCGTGCCGGTCTGCGACTCCAAGTCCTCAAATTGCATGTCGAAATAAATCCTCTTCGCCAAAGGTACCCTCTGATGGGTGCGCGCCAGCTCTGGTAAAGTCTTTCCAGTCTCCCCGGAGAAGTGACCATTCCTTTTTTTTTTTTTCAGCTGAAGCCCCGAGTAAGGCGCAATCCTCAGCAGAAGCCATGTTGAGTCCAAGTTGAGAAGCTCCTCGTACTGGCCGATAGGCTTAAACGGGGCAGACTCGGACTCAGGGGCGGGCCATACATGGGTGGCTGGCGCTCGGTAGTACGATTGGCGGGAATAATGCGAGCGCGCACGCTGTGGTTGTGCTCTGCTCACTTGACTCGTTCCGCTTCGCAACGGAGAAAGACAACCAAACCTGCCTGGGTTCGCTGGTGTCAAGTGTCAGCAGGGCAGGACCAAGAGCAGCGCGATCGGCCAGAACTCTCCCACTCGACAACCCAAACTTCCTCTGCGCAATCGACACTGCGCAGTTAGAGGCTACACCTTTTGCGGTGCAGGGAATGCAGTAGTTGAGGAAGCTGACCGCCGACAGAGAACTTGAAGAGGTCTCAGCGAGCTCGATGTTACGGTCACATCATTCAGCTGAGCTAGGGAGGATGATAAGCTTAGAGGCCCATGTAGTTGGCTGGCGTGTTGACAGGGATGAGAGAAAGGAGAATGGTATATTTGAGGACCGCTTCAGCCAAACCACCTGACACATCATTGAACTCCCAAAAGGGCTCGGATCTAGAAGAAGAAGCGTAGAGGCATCTATCTGACGCCTTTGTACATCCCAAAAACACCCTGTTTGTTTCATCACAGCGCTCCCGCTGCCCCGTTGATGGGCAAGTTCCTTTTCTACCCCGCCCCTAACTCACCACCCCAGGTACGCGGTGGGCAAAATGGTGTAGGCGGGCAAAAATGTAAAACAACTCGTCGCCGACAAGATTCGAACTTGCGAGGCCGAAGCCAATAGATGCCTGACGAGGATTCAAGTCTATCCCCTTAACCACTCGGGCACAGCGACTGATGATTTGAGTATGCCGCGACGCGGCACAATAATACCTGGCCACTTGGTTCCACCATCGCCCCAATTGTCACCTGACGGCAAGGCGGGTAGGTGGGTACCTTCCGCGTTGTCCATCGTTGGCCGCCTCGAGCGTCATGCAGCGTCCCAGCTGCTAAAGTTGAGCTCACGACGATACAGCGTTCTGCGAAGTTTGCAATGTTGCATCCTCTTCGACCACACAGAACGCGCAGTGAAGCGGCGGTGGCGCGTAGCAATCGAAAAATCCTCAACAGCAATTTTCCCAGTACGACCGCCAACCGTCAACGAAAGGGTCCGATTACGGCAATGTATCCGCCCACAGCGCCGAGCAGATACGAGCCCTACAGGTCCAGCGACGATGAGAACCAGCAAAGGCGTTGCTAAATTGCAAGGAGGTATTCGAAAGATATTTAATGCCCTTCACCCTAAAAAGCAAGGCCGTTGAGAACATCAAGCTCGTTGCTTACCACAGCTAGCTTCGCAGAAGCTGTCGCGAGAGGCAGATGTTGTCGTTTGTGGATCAACACTAAGACCTTCAATGTGGCGCGGACCAAGCTCAAATGCCAAGGCGCTAGTGCCGGCGGCTAAACCGTACCTGACTTAGCTGCAAATGCGGTGACGTCGCCAAGCACAAACAATATTCTTGGTTTTGCCCCAAGCAATTCGCCTGCACCTTTGACAATCTGCTTGCATTCCTGCCCATCGTCACGCTACACAGAACATTTGCGTTTTCTCTCGTCTCCTTCGAATTCTCACCTTCATTGACGCTCCCAAGCACTTTTTGCGTAGTCGCGACAAGGTTATGCGTGAGTCCCACCCCCGGTCCATGATCCCCACAGCGCGAAAGCTTCTTCCCCCACGCCCAGCCAACGCGCCGAGGCCAAGACAACGCTGTGGCGCCCTTGGCTCCTGGGCGCCGCTGGGCGGTGCCAACCATCGCAACTAACCGCTGACATCTCACCATCGCAGACCGCATTCGCTCCTGGGCAAGAGCTCGACAGTACGGCGACCCCGTCCGAGATCATGGGTCGCGCCCAAGACCAAACGCCCCAGCGCCCGCGACGACGGTGACCTCGCCCGACGTTGAAGCCAAGCTCAAGGAGAAGAGCACCGCTGCCAATGCGGATCCGATCTTGGCATCCACCGCGTCGTCGACCGCACCCCAGAAGACGGCGGACACCACACCCGACAGTGCTGAAGATGCGGAGTCTACAAAGCCCCCGCGCCCGGCGCTCGGCAAACGGATTGTCCGAACGGCGCGCATCATAATATTTGGGAGCTGGGCGAACGTCCTGCTGGTCTTCGTGCCGGTGGGAGTGGCAGTGCATTTCGCGCATGCGCCGGCCGGGGTGGTGTTCGCGATGAACGCCATTGCGATCGTTCCACTGGCGGGATTGCTGGGGAAAGCGACGGAGACTGTTGCCGCGGGCTTTGGAGATGCCATTGGAGCGCTGATGAACGTTACATTTGGCAATGCGGTTGAGCTGATTATCTTGTGGGTGCGCCCTCCTCCCGTGTCGTTGGATGCTCTGCTAACCCCTCTGTCTACAGCATGTGCGTTGTTTGTGTTCCGCCGTTGTAAAATGTTGCTGCTAATTGTGGAAAGCATCGCACTGGTCAAGAATGAGATTCGAATTGTACAGGCATCGTTGCTGGGGTCGATTCTGGCGAACTTGCTCCTGATCTTGGGCATGTGCTTCTGCTTCGGTGGGCTGCGGTTCCGGGAGCAGATCTACAACAGCACAGTCACGCAGATGAGCGCCTGCTTGCTCTGCCTGGCGGTCATGAGCTTGCTTCTACCGGTATGCTCAACCCTCTCGCTCCTAGATTCACAGTGCCTTGCTAACTCGTCCAGACTGCGTTCCATGCCTCGTTCAAGAATATGGTGGTTGCAGACGAAAAGGTCTTGCAGGTCAGCCGTGGCGTGAGCGTGGTATGTTAATATCCTGGCCATGACGCTGTCCAAACGCTAACGCATACAGATCCTGCTGCTTGTCTATGTCCTCTACTTGGTCTTCCAGCTCAACTCTCACGCCTACTTGTACGAATCGACCCCGCAACACATCATCGAGCGAGAGGCGCACCCAGGCCCTGCCGCACAAATCTTCGATTCATCATCAAGTTCAGACTCCGATTCGTCTTCCTCGGACTCAGGCTCGTCGTCGAGTTCGTCGAGCTCTGGCGGCAAGCGGGAAAGAGTCAAGCGAGCCTTCACGAGCCGCCGGAGAAGAAAGAGGGCGGGCTCAGCTTCAACCACGCCAGACCTGGAGGGAAACGAAATCAATCCTCTCGCGGCACTCGAAGAGGGAGAGCCATCTGCCCCGTCGAAAAGAAAGAAGCATCACAAAAGGTCCAAGCATGGCAGGAAGAAGGGCGAGAAAGAGCCGGTCCCGCCCGTCCTGACCGAGCAAGTCAGCGAAAGCACGAATCTAACCACGCTGGTTGTCGGAGATATCGAGGCTCAAGACACAACACCCGCCGCAAAGCCCTTCTCCCTCCGCGTTCTCCGACCCGTCATCCCCCGAGGCATCACCCAAACTGTCTTCAACAGCCCTAATCCCGCGCCACCGACGTCTTCAAACGCCGGCCTTCGCCGGTCCCGATCGCTCCCTGAACGGATGGCCGCCCATCGCGTAGCCCCTGGCGAGATCCCCTCGATCGTCCCTATTGTCGTAACCAGCTCGCCCCGCCCCGCCGGGGAAGATGATGACGAAGATCACGGCGAGGAGATCTCCCGCACCTCGGCCATATGCCTCCTCCTGTTATCTACCGGTCTCGTTGCTCTCTGCGCCGAGTTCCTTGTTGCCTCCATCGACGAAGTGGTTGCGGGTAACTCTGCGCTCTCCAAAGCCTTCATCGGCCTCATCCTCCTACCCATTGTTGGTAACGCGGCAGAGCACGTCACTGCCGTCACCGTTGCGATGAAGAACAAGATGGATCTTGCGATCGGTGTTGCTGTAGGCTCATCCATCCAAATCGCCCTCTTTGTCACGCCATTGGTGGTGATTCTTGGGTGGATTATGAACAAGGAGATGAGCCTTTACTTTAATCTGTTCGAGACAGTATCATTGTTTGTGTCGACATTCATCGTCAACTTTCTGGTGTTGGATGGGAGGAGCAACTACCTCGAGGGAGCCCTGCTGATGTCGGCGTATGTGATCATTGCCGTGGCGGCGTTCTTCTACCCTAGTGATGAGGAGACGAGCGAGGCTGGAGGAGGTGAGGCGGCAGGGCATGCAGTGGAGGCAGCGAAGTTGATGGTCAGGGGGTTTGGGCCATCATTAGGGTTCTAGAGAGAGACAAGTGACCGAGGGGCACAAGGGCAGAATTCATGCAAGGAGGGTTGTCTGTGGATATATGACCTTCCAAGTCAACACATGGCTTCGCCGACGTCACTGAAGCACATCGGGGTACATGCGATATCTTTGGAGATGTCTTGTCCGTATGGTAAAAGGGTGTTGGTTGACGTCGGTGGCTGGTGGGCACCAAAGCAGGGGGAGCCACCCCTGCAGCCTTAGTGACTTGGCTTCCAGATGTCATTGGTAGGATCGTGAATCAGTCTCTCGGTGAGGGGACTGACACCCGCTTCACTGCAATTTTAGCGCGCAAGGAGGAGAGGTTGGCAACATTGCCTTCAGTCACAAGAGGGTTGTTGTCCACAGAACGCTGGACTCGGCATTGGACAACATCAGAACGTCACGATGGAAAACGGCAACAGTTTGTTGAGGGAGTTACGGGCATTGCCAACGGGTACTGCACTGTCTTTTTATTTTTTTTAAAAAAAAATTCAAGCTTGTTTTTGAGTCGTTTCAACCTGGGCTTGGCCGCCCGAGTCTTCACCCGACCTAGACCATCCACCTTCAAAGTTAAGCTCCGTACACCTCTTCTAATTCCCTAACCCGCCGTCTATCCGTTGCCACTCGGAGAAAAGAGGAAAAATAAAGTTGCTTACTAGCGGACACTGGTCAATCAAATGTCCTTTTCAACTTTTTTCCCCTCTTTTCCCAACATTTCATCTCACCACCTGTCCTCCCACCCTGCACCTAGGCCTCCAGCACAAAGGTAGGGGCTTTGAGAGAGAAGTCAAACTCCTTCGGATGGAAGGAGATGTTAGGGAGTGAAGAAGAGCGGGTGACTCTGCGGGACAAGACTGGCTCTTCAGGGTAAAAATCAGGGAGGGTGGAGGAGTAGTCTGAGGCGGGAGACTCAGGTGCGCACCCTGGGGAGATGGGGGTATAGTAACGAGCTGTACCTTCAGAGAAGGTTGACTCTTTGGGGGAGCAGGAGGAGGCGAATCCCGGGGAGAGGGGAGTGTAGTAACCTGCGGGCTCTTTAGGGGCAAAGGCCGGAGGGGTTGGGGTGTAGTAGTCCATCGGGCCCTCGGGGTAGTAGGAGATAGGGGCCAGCCCGTAGCCCATGTGAGAGGATTCAGGACCGAACGCTGGAGGTTTGGGGGCGTAGTAGCCCCCGTAGGTGGATTCGAGGATGGGACAGACGGGGTGGAATCCCGTCTCATAGAGCCCAAAGTCAAAGGAGGGAGCTTGGGGGTAAAACTCCGGAGCAGTCGGGTTGTAGATGGGGGAAGCAGGGGACTCGCCGAAGCCGGCCGTGGCGCCAGGGCGAGGGTAAAAGTTGCAGGCGGCTTGGGGAGCCCGAGTCTGGGTTGTGGCGGGAGTGGAGGTGCTGGTAGCAGCCTCCTTTCCGGCCTTGTCAGTAGCCTTACCTGCGGCTTTCTGCTCCTCGGCCTTCTTCTCGGCCTTGCGCTTATTGATGGCGAAGTTGCGTCGACGGCGGACGTCGTCCTTCTTCGTCTCACCTTGTGCGTAGATCGGGCCTGTGAAGGTGATGAGAACCTGATCCTTCCGTGCGCGAACCATGGTGGCGGTTGCTAATTTAAGTTCTCCTTGAGAAGTGCTGTTGGTTATTTTAAGGGTGAGTCTCAACCGATGCGCTCTCTGTGTGTTGAGCAGCGGGAGTGC